GTCAAAAATTTGGTTATTATTTCTGAAATGATTGATTTATTTTATTAAAGTGAAGATGAATGAAGATGAAGACTGTCTTCTAACTGGTTCATGTAGATTTACTGATCTAACTGGATGAAAAACTGACAGTGTCTGTCAATGAAAGATGGTGTACCAAAGAATTACATTAACCTTATATCAAGGATCTCTTCTTAAACACCGCTGATTACTGCAAGAGCTGTTCGTCATTGGTTATCCACTTTCATCAATCTTATTCAATTCTGTCATGGGGATGCTCTGAGAGATGATACTTTCATTGTATGACTTTTCAAGAGTTGACAATTCTACCAGTAGATTTACTTAGAATAATGTCGATGACATACTTTCAGTCAGTCAGTCAGATGCAACGTAGAACTTTGTACATCAGTACATCAGTTCATGTTACCATACCACACATCAGCACAGAGACGTAATTGTCACTTCAAATCCCATAGTAGTAGATGTAGTAAAAGTATTAGCAGTAATCGGAGAGATTAGGATTAGAAGATATTATTCAAGAAGTATAATTCAGTGAGATAAGGTTAGAAAGTCAAAACTAGAGGTGTTGAAGAATTCAGAAGATTAGGATTTGAGAGAACACAAAGAATAAATGCACCAGCGCCATTGCAAAAGCTTTCGAACCATGTCATTCAGGTTATCTAAAGATCAATTATTATCATCTCAACCAGGTAGTCGACAACTACCGGCATGACTCAGTCTACTTGTTAATGACTTCATGGATTTGTTCCATGTTTTGGTTTGGCCACCCCTATCTTTCGTCCAACCTATTCCGACGTGGCAATACAGGGCTCGACGAGGCAGACGGTGGTTAGGCATACACAACACATGGCTCAGCCACCTCAACTGATCAAATTTCATTACTTCATCTATTGACCTTCCATCCTTACCTCCCCAGATAAGTAAAGCGATCAACATGCTCGACTACTTCACTCCCTATCACTAGTTCAGGTGCCGATGCAACCCAATCTTGAAGCAACATTTCGCATTTCGAGGGGGTAAACCGTATCCCGAAAATGCTTGCATTGTTGCTTAGGGTAATCAGAAGACTGCACTTTGTCAGTGTCTTGCCCAAGTAGGACTCAGTCATCGGCACATTCTAAGTCAATAAGCGAGCCACCTGGTAGAAGGTCTACTCCTGAAAATTCAGACGAGGATAAGGTTATTTCTAGGAGCATGTCTATGATAAAATTGCGATGACATACTTTGATCCGGTGAAGAGGCTGACATGATGCAGCATATTTGGGATACGATTCTCCTCTTTGAAATGCACAATGAAGCTTCAGGATTGATCTGATTCAGCACCTGAACTAGTAGATAAAGGAGTGAAGTAGTTGAGCATGTTGACTACTTTACTTATTTTGGGCGTCTCATCGGTCCTAATAAATAGCCTAGTGTGAAACTAAATCTCGGCACGGATACAGAAAGCTCGATTGGCTTTGTCTGCCTTGCATCACTTATATTGCAGGTGAGAAATTCATCTGCTAACCAAAGGACGAGTTTACTGTGCAGCAGTTCGTTCCGTCCTATGTTACGGGTATGGAATATGGCCAGAACTAATAGAGGGTATACATAGGTTACTAGTATTCGGTCATATGTGTCCTCGAAGCATTGCTCGCATATCCTGGGACCACCGAGCAAGCGGTACAGCTGTTGTAGTTAGGAAATGGGTACTAGGTAAGGATTGTCAATCGACTGATGAAGCAGTGAATATGCATCAGTTGGGGTAGTTGTGACATGTGCGACGTATGCTCAACCATCGACTGCCAAGACGAGATGTTTTATGGTGCAGCGTTAGGCTTGAAAAAAGTTAGGGGTAGCCAGACCAAAACACGGAACAAACCCATGAATTCACTGACTACTGTACTGAGCCATGTTAATAGATGTAGCCTATCAAATCAGAGCTCATGAGACAATCAAAACCGATGGTTAGAGACTTTGAGTCACATGACTCAAAATTATTTACAATATTTTTGTGGTGTAGGAGTAGGTTGGAAGAAAGCTGTAGACGTCCAAAATAAAACATGACACAAATCTATGAAGTAGCTGACAACTGGAGTGACTCATGTTGGTAGGAGTAGACTGATTGGTTCGGTTACGCGAGACAATAGTAACCGATGCTTAGAGACGTTGAATCACATGACTCAAAATCATTTACAATGGAGCAGATGCATTCATTCTTTGTATTTTCTCAAATTCTTATCTCTTTCTAAAATTTATTTCACTGGATTATACTTCTCGAATTATATCTTTGATAGCTAATCCTTTCGATTACTGCTTATATTTCTATCACCTCTACTACTATAATCTTTCGCTTCAACTTTAGTGCCTACTAATTGACTGACAACTAATTTTACTTTGAAATCATGAATGAATATCATTGTGTTATACCAACACAACATGCACCAACCAAATCCCCCTTGATGGAGATGCTTTGGAGGACGTTAACACCTTTACATATCTTCGCAGAATCATCGACGAGAAAGGTGGATCGGATGCAGATGTGAGGGTGCGGATCGGCAAAGTAAGGGCTGCATTTCTATAGTTGAAAAAATTCTGGAACTCCAAACAAATATCAGTCGACACAAAAACCAGGGTTTTCGATGCAAATGTCAAGACAGATCTACTGTATGGGACGGAAACTTGGAGATCTACGAAAGCCATCATCCAGAAGATACAGGTATTTATGAACAGTTGTCTACATAAAATACTTCAGATTGGTTGACCAGACAATACCAGCAACAACCTACTCTGTGAAAGAACAAACCAGATTCCAGTGGAGGAAATCAGGAAGAAGTGGTATAAGTAGATAGGACACACTACGAAAAGCACCTAACTGCGTCACAAGACAAGCCCTCACATGGAATCCTCAAGGTAAAAGGAAAAGAGGAAGGCCAAGGAACACATTACGCCGAGAAATAGAGAAAGACATGAGAAGAATGAACGGTAACTGGAAGGAACTGGAAAGGGAAGCCCAGTAGAGAGTTGGTTGGAGAAAACTGGTCGGCGGCCTATGCTCCATTGGGGGTAACAGGCGAAAGAAGTAGTAAAATAAGCAACATTTGAAACCTGGAAGTACTGGACAGCTGTTTCATCCTAGTATGGGACTCGTCAGTAGTGCACACTCATGACTCCTGCTATTCGCAGGATTCGAACCCAATACCGTCGGTTCATTTTGTATTTTGAATTAGAAAACCGGCAAATAATAATGTATATTATAAAATGTATGTGTTAATTTTAGAAAAGAATTTAAATCTTAAAAAATAATTCATGTCAGATTACTAGTACTACTACTACTACTGTTACTACTACTAATTAAATATATATATATATATATTTATTACTAACTCCGTCATTCGTAACATTGAAACGTCATAAAAACACACACACAATTAGAAATTCCGTAATATCATATGATAAAATAAATGGCATTAATAATTGCGTCACGAACATTGTGATAGCAAAATAATAATAATAGTAATAACAATAACAGTGGTGAAATCATCGGCGTTAAGAGACATGATTGTGTAAAAACTATGGATAGATGTACAAGACATAAATCAGTCAGTCAGTCAGTCAGATGCAACGTAGAACTTTGTACGCAAGTACATCAGTTCATGTTGCCATATCACATCAGCACAGAGAAGTAATCGTCAATTCAAATCCAATAGTAGAAGAGGTAGTAACGGTATTAGAAGTAATCGGAGAGGTTAGGATTAGAAGATATTATTCAAGAAGTATGATTCAGTGAGAAAAGTTTAGAGAGTCGAAACTAGAGGTGTTGAAGAATCCAGAAGATTAGGATTTCAGAGAACACAGAGAATAAATGCATCGGTGCCATTGCGAACGATTTTGAGCCATGTCGTTCACGGTCTCTAACCATCGATTATTATCATCTCGTGGACCCCAACCAGGTAGTCGACAATTACCGACATGGCTCAGTCCACTAGTCAGTGACTTCATGGATTTGTGCCATGTTTTGGTTTGGCCGCCCCTAACTTTCTTCCAACCTACTCCTACACTACAAAACAAGGCTCGTCGAGGCAGTCGGTGGTTCGGCATACGCAAGACATTTCCCAACCACCTCAACTGATCAAGTTTCAATACTTCATCGATTGCTCTCCCATCCTAACGTAGTACTCGTTTCCTAACGACAGCATTTCTCACTCGGTTGTCCCACGGTATACGAGCAATGCTTCGAAGACACCTATGATCGAAAACCAGTAACCTACGAATATCTTCTACTCTAACTGGCCATGTTTCACAGCCATATAGAAGAACGAAGCGAACCTCTGCGCAGTACACTCGTCCTTTGATTAGCGAACGGATATCACGCCTACTCCATAAGTGACGCAGGTTGGCAAAAGCCAATCGAGTTTTCTGTATCCGTGCTGAGATTTCGTCAGTCACCAGGCCATCGGCACTGATGAGACTCCCAAGATAAGTGAAGCGGTCTACACGTTCGACTACTTCACTCCCTATCACTAGTTCAGGTGCCGATGAAACCCAGTCTTGAAGCAACATTTTGCATTTCGAGGGGGAAAACCGCATCCCGAACATGCTTGCATTGTTGCTTAGGGTAGTCAGAAGACTCTGCATTTTGTCAGCATCTTCACCAAGTAGGACAATGTCATCGGCATATTCTAAGTCAATAAGCGAGCCACCTGGTAAAAGGTCTACTCCTGAAAATTCAGACGAGAACAATGTTATGACAAGACATAAATGTTTTTGGTTAAACCCTTTTCTTTCATATGTATGTAGTCTTAGAGGTATTTGTAAATGAAGGAAGAAGTTTCGCATATGTAGTCCTACTTTCAACATGACATCCTCTATGTAGTTCAATGTGGTGTAGTGTAGTGTAATGTATGAAAGTGCATTCATGACCGTTTTTGGGCAAATTACTTCAGACTTGATTCAATATTGGAAAAGGCTTCCTTCCCACAATTACATATGGTATCGACTGTCTAATCAATCATAGAGGAGGATGACACCATTACCGAGGTGGACAACTGGTTTTTCGAATTAAGATGTGGTAAGTTTCCTTGAACATGTATGTAACAATAGGGTATATACTGAGTTAGGCCAATGTAATTGACTTTCACATAGCAGCTAAAGTGATATATACACACGTAGAGAGAAATGTAATAATGACAATTTTTCTTGATTCAATGAGTCAGTGTATGTCAAGCTAAACAAAAATTGACATCAGTTGGATGTTATAGTAAAATTAACCGGTTTGCCTAACTAAATACCCCCATTTAAGCGTTAACATATTAGGTATCTCTGTTTGTTGTTGCATTAACATCGATTCGATTCTCAATTTGGTCAAGTTATGGATGCTCGTTGACGATGAGTCCAATCCAAGGACAAAATAATCAACCAGTGTCTCCGAAGCCTTGTTCGAGTACCATGGGACACCCGAGTAAGCAATGCTGTCCTTAGGAAGCGAGTACTAGGTAAGGATGGCAGACCAATAGATGAAGTTGTGAAACTGTGGAGATGGTTAGGACATGTGTTACATATGCCGAACCACCAACTGCTACGTCTAGCTATGATTTGCGATGTAGGAAAAGGTTGGAAGAAAGCTAGGGGCGGCCAAACCAAAACACGGCACAAATCCATGAAGTCACTGATAAGTGGACTGAGTCATGTTGGTAGATGTAGGCTATCTGGTTGGGGTCCGCGAGACGAAAGTCACCAATGGTTAGAGACCTTGGACGACATGGCTCAGAGTCGTTTGCAATGGCGCAGGTGCATTCATTCATTGTGTTCTCTCAAATCCTAACCTTTTGAATTTCTCATCATCTTTGTCTTTTTCTTTTAAGTTTATTTCACTAGATTCTACTTCTTCAATAATATCTCCGAATCCTAATCTCTTCGATTAATGCTAATACCTTTACTACCTCTATTATTAGGGGTTTTGAAGTGACAATTGCATCTCTGTGCTAATGTGGTGTGGCAAACTGAACCGATGTACGTACGTAGGTACGAAGTTCTACGTTGTTGTTGTTGACTGACTGACTAACTGGCTGACTTGACAACAATCAGCACAATCTTGACATGACAAATTAATCAACATAATTGGAGAAATTGAAAAAACAAACATGTAAGATCGAGGAGTTCACGTACGGCGCCAAAGGTCCTGGGTTCGATTCCTGCAAGGTGCAGGAGTCGTGGATGCGCACTGCTAATGAGTCTCATACAAGGATTGAAACAGCTGCCCAGTGCTTTCAGGTCGTTAATGTTTATCTAACCATTTCCATTGCGCAACATAATCACTTCACCATCAACCAACACATATATATATGCAATCGTTACACTTACCTTCACCAACATATAAATGTCCACCATCTTCTCCTTCACGTATAATATAACAATTAGCTGCAACAGTTTGTTCATGCATACATGAAACAACTTCTTGTAATTGAACTGCATCTAAATTTTTGATTAAATCATTACTTCGTAGAGCTTCACGTATTTGTCGACGAGAACTACAACAAATCACATTCAATGAAAATGATAGAAAGAAATTATTATTATTTTTAATGATGTAAAATATATTATGTAGAATGTGTAGTACACACATATGATAATGTGAATAAGTTCAGAAACTGAAATCATCTTGAAAGAAGGGAAATGATTGAATTCATCAATCAAACCTTCAGTGTAAATTAATAATAGTTGACATGAACTCATTCCATGATCCTGACTGAGTGTGAAAAAAAAATGGCGTTTGAACATAGGTGTTGATCACCGGCTATCATGTCATGAGACTGTATCACTCACTGAATGTTGCTCCTATGAGCTATGAAATAGAATCTTGATACATATATATTGACAGTATCAATTTGGTTTTTTAGATATCTTTTTAGTAGTACTTTTCAATCAATCAATCAATCATATCAATAGAAACGTAGAACTTTGTACGTACGTACCTACGTACATCAGTTCAAGTTGCCATACCATATTAGCACAGAGATCTAATTGTCAATTCAAATCCAATAATAGTAAAGGTATTAGCAGTAGTCAGAGAGGTTAGGATTAGAAGATATTATTCAAGACGTAGAATCTAGTAAAATAAACTTTAAAAAATAAAAGTGATGAGTAATTCAGAAGGTTAGGATTTGAAAGAACACAATGAATGAATGCATAAGCGCCATTGCAAATGGTTTCGAGTCATATCATTCAGGGTCTCTAACCATCGGTTACGTTTGTTTAGCTGTTCCCAACCAGGCAGTCTGCATTTACCAACATGACTCAGTCCACTTGTTAATGACTTCATGGATTTCTTCCACGTTTTGGTTTGGCTGCCCCTAGCTTTCTTCCAACCAAATGCCTAAATCGCAAAGCATAGCTCAACGAGGCCGTTGGTGGATAGGCATTCGTAGCACATGTCTCAACTATCTCAGTGATGAAGTTTCAATCCTTCATCCATTGATCTACCACCCTTACCTAGCACCCGTTTCCTAACCACAGCATTGCTTTCTCAGTTCTCCCAGAATAAACGAGCAATGCTTCGAAGACACCTATGATCGAAAACCAATAACCGACGAGTATCTTCTACTCTCACTGGTTATGTTTCACAGACATAATGTTAGATGGAGAGAACTACTTCGCTGTACACATGTCCTTTAGTCAGCAAATGGATATCTCGCCTACGCCATAAGTGACGCAAGTTGGAGATAGCCAACCGAGCCTTCTCTATCCGTGCTGAAATTTCGTCAGCCACCAGGCCATAAGCACTGATGAGTATTATGACGATGATTGTTTTAGATTGAAATCATGAATGAGTCATTGTTCTAGGGGTTCGAATCCCGCAAGTAGCAATAGTTGTGAATGCGCAATGCTACTGATGTGTCACTCCCATAGCAGGACAAAACAGTTGTATTTGAATGCTACCAGGTTTCTAACAAGGTGGTCGGCCCATGATTTCAATGTAAAATCTAAATATTTTACAAATGTAAAATTGTATATCATTTAAAACAAAATAACTATACATCATGTACATCATTGAATTCAATTTATCAAGTTCATACTGGTGGATTTATCAAGGGGACAATCAAATGTACACACACACACACATTATCAGAATGTGTATGTGTGTGTGTTCGAAGATTAGTGTAAATGACTGATTAGGGATACTACCCCCAACTCAGGTCGCATATGGTCAGAAAAATGACAATTTCGCTATTATAAAAAAAAATCATCACCCTACATCATACAAACAGTAATAAAAGTGTTTGAGTATATTTGCGTCAAGCTGGACTGCTTCTCTGATCATCTTATGTGTATACCATATGCTATACTGCTACGTAGAGCTGAAAGTTTCCAATGAGACCAGAGGTTCGATGTCATGAACATTGTGGATGGTTTAGCATTAATTTGGAAAGTTGTCCACATACGAATTCGGTTTACATGATGATCGATTTCATTGATACTGATGGTTGTCCTATGACCATTGCCACTGTGATTGCAGTGCTGCATTACATATCATCATTGCTAATAATATTGAGACTGACTGTCATGTAAGCGGGATGAGTCAAATTGGCCTATTCATTCGGTGCAATATTGACTGTGACGCGATCATCGATCGGAAATAATCACTAAATATATACGTACTAGTGTATATATAAATGGTGTGAATAGTCCACCACGGCGTCAGGTACCACCTGTGTGGTGGTTGCACCGTGGGCATTGAACCAAACTGTTCATGTAGAACTGCTAACACGTGAGGAGTCTCCTTGGTTCTCCTGATGTAAAACTACCTTTCCCAATTGAGGGTGGGTGAATTTATATAAATTATCGTGTGACAACGGATTGATTATCTAAATCCATCATAGATGAATCGAGATTGGTTAGATTTTATATAAGAGTGATGAATCAATTCCATCAAACTGCATTTGAGTAGATGTTTGTAGAAGCATAAATGATTGATTAGATATTTTTTCACATTAAGGCCAAAAATTCACTGAAATAATCATACACTATGACATGAACGAGTAATCATCAATCAATCATTGTTAGACCACCATTAGAAACCTGCAAGACGCACTGGACGGTCGTTTCGTCCTAGTATGGGACTCCTCAGCAGTGCGCATCCACGACTCCTGCATCCCGCAGGATTCGAACCCAGGGCCTACGGTATTGTGCGCGAAAGCCTAACCATCGGACCACTGCTGAGCCTGTATCTAACGCTGTTAATGTCTAACTTGATCAATTCACGGAGTTGCGCAACCTCAAACACAGTCTTCAGTAGACACTGCCTACATCCGAACAGGTTGAACTTCACTGGTCATGTCTTCCCACTAGAAGTCGGAGAAGATTCCTCACGAAGCTAGTCGCTAGTGAGCACAGGTAATTCGCATTACGGGGTTGTGAAGATTGTTAAGTTACACACTTTTTGAAACCAATGGTTAGGCGTTCGCGTACAATACCGAAGGTCCTGGGTTCGAATCCTGTGGGGTGCAGGAGTCGTGGATGCGCACTGCCACTGATGAGTCCCATACCAGGACGGAAACGGCCGTCTCTTAGTGCTTCTTCCAGGTTTCTCCAATGGTGGTCTAACATTGATCGATTCATGGTTTCAAAAATGTGTAACTTAACAATCTTCACAACCCCGTAATGCATATATATATACGCCAAGATAGTAAATTCGATTGTTTCATGTATACGGAAAAAAAGTAAGCTAGTCTAATTATATAACACTCCTGTCATTAATACTGATAAATGGATGATAAGTTTGTAAATAAATAGACAAACAAGTGTTGACCATACTTAACTATAATAATAATAATAATAATAATAATAATAATAATAATAATAATAATAATAATAATGTTGATAAGCACATTAACTTATCGCTACAATAATTCAGTACCAGTAATTCTATCTATCTAACACAACAACATTTGTAATGTAGTATACATTTCCATAGGAATTGATTTTTTCTATCAAGCTCATATATCAATAGATAGATATTGCACTGATAAAATGAGACATCAATATACTCTATGCTCAGTCAGTTAGTCAGTCAGCGACGTACGTAGAACTTGTTAAGTACGTACATTAGTTCAAGTTGCCATGATACATTAGTACACAGAGATGGAATTGTCAATTTAAATCCAATAGTGATAGAGAGAGTAGAAGTATTATTGGTAATGAAGAAGATAAGGGTTCGAAAATATGATTCCGGAAGTATAATTCAGTGAGATAACTTTAGAAGGAGAAAGAAAGCGATGATGTGAAATTTAGTAGGTTAGGATTTGAGAGAACATTAAGAATGAATGCACCAGCCCCATTGAGTCAAGTTGTTCAAGGTCTCTAACCATAGGTTACTATCGTCCCGCTGACCCCAACCAAGTAATCGACACCTACCGACATGATTCAGTCCACTTGTCACTGACTTCATGGTTTTTAACTTGTTTTGGTCTGGCAGCCTCTAGCATTCTTCTAACCTACTCCTACACTACAAAACATTGCTCGTCGTGGCAGTCGGTGGTTAGGCATACTTAACATATCCTAATCACCTTCACTGATGAAGTTTCGATGCTTCATCTACTGATCTGCCATCCCTACCTAGTACACGTTTCCTAACGACAGCATTGCTTACTAGGTTGTCCCAGGATATACGAGTAATGCTTCGAAGACATCTATAATCGAATACTAATGACCTACGAATGTTCTCTACTCTTGCCGGCCATGTTTCGCATCCATATAGTAGGAACAAGCGAACTGCTGCGCACTAAACTCGTCCTTCGGTTAGCAGACCGTTATCTTGCATGCACCATAAGTATCCTTGCTGAGATTTCTTCGGTCACCATGCTGTAAGGATTGATGAGACTCCCGAGGTAACTGAAGCGGTCTAAACGCTCAACTACTTCACTACCTATCACTAGTTCAGGTGCCGACGCAAGCCAATATCCAAGTAACATTTTGCATTTAGATGGTGAGAACCGCATCCCGAACATGCTTGCATTGTTGCTCAAGGTAGTCAGAAGACTCTGCATTTTGTCAGCGTCTTCACCAAATAGAACTGTGTCATCGGCATCAAAAGCGAAAACTAGTAAACACTTGATGACCATTTTTTCCTAATATAGAACCTTTCAGTAGTGCTTGATTTCATAACTCTGCTACAGAGAGAGTCGAAGCCAAGATATTCAATTTCGTACATGAACGCTTAGTCTCTAGATAGGTGAGCTGCAATTCAATGAAGCATAACCCAAACTTCAGTCAATACACGATATCGCGCTACCATCTCCCATTGTCTTCGGTGATATCTTCCTCACACCCGACAAGGTCAAATGTTGGATCTATTTCAAAGCTATCACAGACTGACTTTAATAGAATAACAAATGGAAACCTGAAATTCTAGTGAAAAAAAGATCAATAATTCATTACAAATCAACCAACAAAAAAAAACAATACATTTCTATGAACTTACTTCGCATCTTTATCATGATAAACTAATTCTTGTGCACATTTCATTGATTCACCAGAAACACCCAGACGTTTACGAAGTAATAAAGCTGCAGCAGGCGGTGGAGTAGTAGTTACATCAGTAGTAACTGGTGGTGATCCAGCTGGTGTAGATGATGATGATGAAGGACTATGCGATTCACTATCATTACGTTTATCATCATTGATAGGTTGAGTAACAACATTGGTTTCACTAATCGATGGGAGATCTTCATGTATCACTTTGAGACCGTCAACAGGTGAAGATGTATCATCCTAGGGGTATGTATAGAGAATAAATGAACAAAAGAAATATTTGCATTACGGGGTTGTGAAGATTGTTGAAAGCGATTGGTACAAAAAAAGAAATTCTGTTAGGTTGCCTCCGGTAAATAAGACATATTTACAATCTCGGGAGAAAATAATTATACCTATAGAATGTGACTCTAAGGTAATCCGCTTAGTCAGCAGTAGCGTCTCAAATGGAGTATCACTCCTTTCAAGAGTGTACAGATGTACCTTTATGATGAGAGCTAACTAGCACAAAACTTAGTAGGTACAACAAAGCCACCTGTCCAGTATCCATAACCAGCATAGTCCAAGAGATGTACAGTCATATTCATTCGGATTAAATAGTTTATTAGTCGAAATTTGTTCAAACGATCCGTCATTATGAAAGTAGAGACTGACACACACACACACACACACAAAAGGACAAATATAAATTGAACATTGAGAAAATGAATCAAAAAGACTAAATGGGATAAATGATCACGACAGAATACTGGGATGCAAGATCGAGAGAATGAATTTATCAACAGTATAATATGACTGATCCTGAGTCATCATAACATTGAAATTCTCCAATTTCTGGACGAGTTGATATTTGATCGACACCTAAGACTTGATATACTCTACCCCAATGACATCAGCAAAAAAAGCCGTTCCATGTAATCTGAAAATTAGATACAACAGAAAAGTTTAAATCACAAAATAATCGTAACAAGATGACTGTCATACTTCAGATCCGTTGGTCAGACGCCAACAGCAACAAGCTGCTGTGGGGGAGAACAAATCAGATTCCAGCAGAGGAAGAAATCAGGAATAAGTGCTGGAAGCGGATAAGGAAAGCACTCACCTACGCGTCACAAGACCAGCTCTCACTTGGAATCCTCAAAGCCAAAGAAAAAGAGGAAGATTAAACAACACATTACACCGAGAAATGGAAGCACACATGAGAAGAATGAACAACATTTGGATAGAACGAAAAAGGAAGGCTCAGGACAGAGAATAGGTTGAAGAACTCTGGTGGGCGGCCTATACTCCATTGAGGGTAACAGGAGTAAGTAAGTAAGCAAGTAAGACAAACATTGAAAACATGAAAGCATTGAACAACTGTTTTGTCCTACCACGATAACTCTCAGCAATGCACAGCCTAGTCCACGGTTCGATTCCCATCAACAGGATTGTTGATGCACACTACTAAAGTATAATAGTGGCAGTCTAACAATGATTGATTGATGATTTCAAATGTGTAAAAACACAAAACCTCAAAAGCTCTGCCCGAAAATATCGTACAATGAGCTCACTAGTGACTAGCTTCTTCGTGAGGAAATTCTCGGAGTTCTAGTTGAGAAGACGTGACCAATAGAGTTCAACCCTGTCGGGTGTGGGCAGTAACTACCAAAGATAAATGGGTGAGGTCGCGCAAAAATCCGTAGATCAATTAGAGTTAGATATTAACAGCGTGGTCCGATGGTTAGGCGTTCGCATTCAATACCGAATGTCCTGGGTTCGAATCCTGCTAGGTGTAGGAGTCGTGCATGCGCACTGCCACTGATGAGTCCCATACCAGGACGAAACAGTCATCTTTCAGTGCTTTTTCCAGGTGTCTAATGCTGGTTTAACAATGATTGATTGGTGATTTCAAATGTGTAAAAAATATAAAACAGCCATTTTATTATTACAGATTTTCAATAATCATCGGAATTTTGATCAGAGTTTATGATTTCAATCTAAAAAAACAAATAATCGATTTAACTTCTTTCCAAACCAATATAATCACAACACATAACAAGATGTGATGTGGTAGTTGAGACAGTAAGAAGACCAAAAAAGAAAACAGAGACAATCCATTTAAAAAGAAAATAGAAACGTTTTGTTTTTTTTTAAAAAAATAAAAAAATATTGAAAATTCAATATTCAATATCGATATCGAATATTGAAAATTCAATATTCAATGTTCAATAAAATTGAATAAACAAAGAAAGTAACAACAACAACAACAACACGCCATCATAAAATGTTTGTTAAAATATACCATTAAAAGAAAAATAGTGTTGTTTTGAATAGTCGATTATCATCATCAACATCATCATGATATTAGAGGAGAATATGAGAAGAGAGAGAGCGAGAGAGAGCGAGAGAGGAGAGAAAAGAAATGATCTTTTTCTGCAAATTGAACTGAACAATTATTGTCACTGTTTTCTTCTTCTTCTTTCCCTCACCTTCAGAGGATGACGATGCATGAGGAGGAGGAGGAGGACGACGACTACGACAACTGGGGAGAAGGAGAAGGAGGAGGGAATTGTTCGATCGATGTTCGATCAATCCAAAACAAACGCACAACATGACAGGAAGTGAAGAATTAACTAACTAACCCTAACCAACACTTGAAAATTGGAGAGAAAATCTATTTATGATGAAGAAAACTACTAGATACATGTAATTGTGTGTTAGTTGGTGATGGTGATTGTCAACATGAAAAAGAATTTTCAAACTATCAATTAAAATTTGTTTTTTTTTCAAAAAAAAAATAATAATAATTAAAAAAAGAATATGAAACACTAGAGATAAACATGAGATAAGCATGAACACATTGATCAATGGAATTGTTTGTCATTCAGTTAAGTCAGCCAGATGCAATGTAGAACTTCGTACGTAAGTACATCAGTTCATGTTGCCATACCTTATCAGCACAGAGATATAATTGTCAATTCAAATCCAATAGTAGAAGAGGTAGTAAAGGTATTAGAAGTAATCGGAGAGGTTCGGATTAGAAGATATTATTCAAGAAATATGATTCAGTAAGAAAATTTTAGAAAGTCAAAACTAGAGTTGTTGAAGAATCCAGAAGATTACGATTTGAGAGAACACAAAGAATAAATGCACCGGCGCCATTGCAAACGATTTTGAGCCATGTTATTCAGGGTCTCTAACCATTGATTACTAACATCTCGCTGACCCCGACGAGGTAGTCGACAACTACCGACATGGCTCAGTCCAGTCGTGAATAACTTCATGGATTTCTGCCATGTTTTGGTTTGGCCGCCCCTAGCTTTCTTCCAGCCTATTTTTACACTACAAAACAAAGCTCGTAGTGTAGTGTTTGCATGCATATTAGTGCAGATAAATAATTAGCGTATAGCCTAACCATCATTGACTGCTTTGTCAAGCTATGCTTTGCAATGTAGGCAGCATTAGGTTGGAAGAAAGCTAGGGACGGCCCAAAAACCGAAACATGGCACAAATCCATAAAGTCACTGAAGAATGAATTCAGTGATGTTGGTAGGTTTGGAATACCTACCTGGTTGGGGCCCACGAGATGATCGTTGGTTAGAGACCTTGAATGATATGGCTGTAAACCGTTTACAATGGCGTAGGGGCATTCATTCTTAGTGTTCTCTCAAATCCTAATCTTCTGAATTCCTCATCACCTTTGTCTTTCTCTTTTTAAATTTATTTCACTAGATTCTACGTCTTGAATAATATCTTCAAATCCTAATCTCTCCGATTACAGCTAATACTTCTACTGCATCTCCTACTATGGGATTTGAAGTGACAATCCCATCGCTCGGTGCTAATGTAGTATGGCAATTTGAACTGATGTCCGTACGTACGTACGCACGTACGCAGTTCTACGTTGCAACTAACTAACTGACTGACAGACTTATATCCATATTAGTAGTGATGGTTGTATGAATGAAGCTAACGTGTGATAGAACAGTGAAGAAATTCAAATCCCACATGAGTCTTGATCATTAAAAAGTAAATATGAAATAGTACACTGAGACTAGAAATATTTACAGGAAGATAACTACTAATGGAATGATGCACTGTTGTGACTAATTTTGAACTGATTCACATGATACCGAGTTTTTTGTTGGATCAATCTCATTCGAGTTATCATTAAGATAGAGAATTAACGTGGGACGAATGTTCACCGGTTCAAGTTGGGAGCAACGAATTGCTCTAGTCATTAAAATAATTTAAAAAAATGATTAGTCAACATTCGTAGAAACCTTGAAGTACTGGACGGTTGTTTCACCCTGATATGGGGACTCATCAGCAGTGCGTACCCACGACCCCCGCTGGCGGGACTCGA